AATTAGGAAAAGAAAGGATAAAAACAGGGAAAATTTTCAAAGTCCCAATTTGATGACCTTGTTAACTTCCAAAATAGGATTAGGGAAAACATGTGTGTCCACTTTATTATTAATAATGACTAATATGTGAATGCTTACAATGTGCCAGACACTGTTTTCAGTGCTGTGCATTTATTGACTCATTTTATCCACATAGTAGCACCTATGTGGAATTTTATTTCCTCCATTTTACAGATGAGGAGTTGGAGGCACTGAGAGGTTAAGTGACTTGCCCAGGTGACTGCCCAATGGCGCAGCTTTGGCAAGGCAGTTTGAAATTTTGGCCATCTGGTCTACCTGTCCATCCATATCATTCACACTCCTTATGTTCCAAACCCTAATCATCCTCGACCACTTAGGATTCTCTGGATAGGCAGTGTGCTTAACTGCAGCACCACCACCACCACCCCACAACCCATTCTTGCCTTTGCACATGGCTTTTCTCTCTTCTCACTGAACCGCCCTCTCCTTCCAATGGACAGGCAATTTTACTCCATGAATCAATGAAAGTAAGAGTCCTATGAAAATTCATTACTATATTTAAGATTAAAAAGTTACTTTGTAGGAAATACAAAAGCTTTCTCCATAAGGAGCCATTCTTACAAAGTTGTTTCTTATCTCAAAGCCAGAACTCACTACACAGATGACCTGGGGTTCTCTTTCCTCTGTTCTCCATGACCCCTCCCCTCCACCACCCACTTTACCCCCTTCTCCCCTCTGGCTCCAGCCCGCCTTCCGGAAAGATCTGTCCACTGTGACCTTTGGCCACTGACAGAGGTTGATCTGTAAGTTTTCAGACCTCCATTCAGCAGCTGTCCACCCCTTTTCCTTCGGACTCCATTTCAGAGGAAGAGGACATGCTTTGTTTTTCAAACCATTTTCACCATACCCAAAACTGGCCATGGAGCTTGGTGATAGGAAGCCATAAGTAATACACCTTGCCCAAGCCATGTGATGGCAGGCACTGGTTAGACACTGCACTGAGAAATGCGCACTCAATGGCTGAAATGACTTATTGATTTATAGATACAGCATCCTTCCATATTTTCAGAGAACTGTAAATACATCATTGCAAGGAAGGAGACATGGGATGGCCTCATAGAACGAGTGCGACATCATAGAACAATACAATAAATATTAAATACTTAATAGCAAACTTTTCAATTAACCAAAAGGGTTTTGACTGATGTGTCAAAACTACTTTTAATTGAATCAATGCCTATTTGTCATCGAAGTACAGGCTACTTTAAATAAGATATGCCAAAAAAGATATCCAGTACAACATGCTGATAATAGCAACAAAAAGAGAGAGAAAAAAATAAAATGGAATAAAATAAATCATGCCTAATTTTTAATTTTCTGATTCTTCACAGAGCACCCATATCATGGCACCAAGTTTAATTAATGCTGCGGATACAATGTGAAATACACTCACACACACCACACACACACACACACACACACACACACACACACACACACACACACACACACAGCTCTGCCCTAACCAAGCTTCCATTCTATTATGGGAAACAGGCACTAAAATAATTACACTGTGTATTTTTTTCCAGCAGTTATAACAATATACTGTCCTAAATAACAAGTGGAAAGTGTGAAATAATATTCAGACATATTAAATGATGTTTAAGAGACTTTAATTATGACAGAACATTTTATCACAAGAATAGTAGTTAATAAAAGCAACAAACAATTTTCCAAAGCATATAATCTCATCAATGTTAAAAAAAAGGTATAGAAGGAAAATTTAATGGTTGTAAAATCCATCTAAAAGAATAAATAATTGAGAATGGCTAAGAAAAATGATGAAAGGAACTTCTACTCCCAAATAGGGAAACATATTTCTAAGCTACAAGAAATAGCTGAATGAGAAACGAGGTGAGAATCACTGAATCTCAGGGGTACAGGACAAATACCTATAGAAGGGTCTGTTTCTGGACTAATATGGTTTTTTAAATGTTTCAAAAGTGGCATTTTAAACCAGTGAGAAAATGATAAACTAGGCAATAACTAGTAGGTTAGCTATTTAGAAAAATAAACAAACTTAGACCTTTATATCACATCATAAATTCCAAATTAAACATGATAGTATAAAGCTGATATATATATATATATAATAGTCATAATCCAAACCATCTTCAAATGATGAATTATTCAGTTAAAAAATTCCAAATGCATTTCAAAGTTAAAATTTAAAAACAATTAAATGAAATTTAGGTAACCACTTAGCTGATTTTAGGGTGGGCAGGCATTCTAAGCATAAAAGAAAAACCATTTTAAAAGACAAAGGTTTGACAACAGACATTTAAAATAAATTTCTACACAGAAAAACAAATCATGACATATATCCCACACCATAAATATAGTTACCATACAATAAATATAGCTAATGGCCAGCAACCAACAGGGGGAAATGTTTGTAATGTATGGCAGTTAAAAGGCTAATATTCTTCATATAGGGTATGCTATTATAATCAATAGGATATAAACATCCCAATAGGAAATTGTGCGAAGGTTATAAATATAATTGATGGAGAAATAAAAAAGATCAATAAACATTTTTTAAAATATTCAGCCTTACTAGCAATGATAGAAATGCTAGTTTAAGATTAAATTCTATGTTTCACTAATCAGATGAAAAATGACAACATCCAATATTAGGAAATAGACAGTGAAATGTACCCTGCTGGCCAGCACCTAAATTGATGAGATTCTGCTGAGAAGGCAATTTGGTAAATATCTCAAAAGCTTCACTCAAACCCTTTGATCCAGTAACTCTACTTCTAAGGTATTTATTCTAAAAATAAATTTAAAAATCTACATTTCACACAAAGACAACTGGAAACTGAAACTGGATAAGTAACACAACTATAAAACATAATACTATGCAGTCATGACAAAAGCTTAAGTTCTCAAAGCATTTTTAATGACATGAGAAAAGTTCACAAACATATAGTAAGTTAAGCAAACAGGATCTATGTCTGCAGTATGATCATCATTTTAAAAGATGCATATACAAATACGTAGAAACAAGGTTAGCAGTGGTTCTCAGGTAAAACTAGAGATAGCGATTTTACTTTTCTTTTAAATTTATCCCTTATACTTTTCTAAATCACCCATGATGAATATGTATACTATTTTAATAATCAGGAAAATATAGCTTAAAAAATAAGTACACCCAATTAACGCAGGATGGTAAGACTATGGGGCAACTCTTTCTCCCTCTCTTTTAACTTATCTATACTGAGCAAAGGATAAACTCTTTTAAAAAGACCTGGTGTGTTGACTGCCAAACACTGTTCAAAGTTGACTGATTAAAGGCAGGAGGGGTGGAGGGAAGGTGGGGAAGGCAGTCACAGGCTTAGAGACAGGTGGGGAGGCAGGCGCACTCGGGGTCCTGGCGTAGCGGCAGGGCCTCAGACTCACCCTTCAGCACCACGGGACAGGGCCAAGAATAAGAACTGCCTTGGGGTGAACGCTCATAAATATCATCCAATTTCTTCATGCTATTGTGCATTTAGGCAAGAAAGCAGAGGCCCTGAGAGGAAAGCAACTGCTCAAAGGTACACAACAAGTTGGTGGCATTTGACCGCCCGTGAAAGAGAAAGGAAAATGGCCAAAGCCATTCCATGAACAAGCACCGATGTACGGCGGTCTCTCCCACATGGCCACATCACCTGCCATCGATGGCCACCGGCCTCAGCAGATGGAGCACAGGTCTCAGGGTCTGAGCCAGGCGCCCTTCCGCTCACTGAGCTTGGCTTGGTGACTCACTGAGGCCACAGAGCTACCCACAGGGATAAGCATGCCCTTCCACAGAGCCATGTCACCAACGGGAGCGGGCTGTTTCCATCCAGAGGCAGATGCAGAGCCACCTGCTAATTCTGGGCTGGTTTTCCGGCTCAGAAGCTGGCAGGCTCAGAAGTCAGAAGAAAGCTGGGTGATCACATTGAACTTCCACCCTAACTGGCTCCCCAAATTGAGGAGTCAAAGTTCGACGGCATGGAGGCAGCCCATGTAAAACAAACCACTAGCACACTGCAGCTCCCGTGTAACTCAGTGCAGCCCTACAGAAGCTGCTGTGTCCCCTGCCCCTCTGCTCTTCCCATTTAAAAGACAGGGGCAATTAGCCCACTTGATGCCAGGGTGTCTATGAGGTGACCCAGGAAGGAAGCGCAACAAACACATACACATGATCCTATAGCAACCATCGAAACACCATCCATCAGGACGCTGATCTACGGGGGAATAAGAAACTGAACAGCCACCCTCACACCAGGTACTTCACACACCCTCATTCTTTTAAATGTCACAAAATCCCACTGCCCATCTTACACATGAAAACACTGAGGCTCTGGGAAATCAGAAACGCAGCTCCAAGTCACAGAGCTAGGAAGTGCTCGAGCTGGAATTTAAACTCCAAAGCCCATGCCATTTCTCTCAGGACACAGTGGGAGATCTTGTCCCCATCTCCACAAAGGGCTTCTGTCAGGCGTGTGGGGATCCCCACAGAGCCAGTCTTCCCACTACTGCCAACTGCGGCTCCAGAAAGGACAGCAGACCTGGCACCAAAGGTGTTTAATCTACAATCATGAAAAGACATCAGCTGTGGTCACAGTACATGGTAGTTACAACAAAGGCTGCAATCACTGAACATCGCCGTGTGGCGGGCCTGTATGACGGCCGTTACCCACATTTGGCATGAGAAATAATACAGTGATGTGTCCGTTTTTCAGATGAAGTCACTGAGACGAGGTTCAGTGAGGTGGCACAGCTAGGAAATGGAATCTATCTGACACCACAGCCTCCTTCCCGAACCCCACCTCTCCCACTGTGACAAGGTAATGAGGCGCAAATGGGTGGTTGGGTCAATTTCTCCCTCCCTCTGGGTGCCCCCCCCCACCACCCCCGGCTCTACTCTGGCCCAGTGCTCCGGCCACTACCTTGGTTGAGGTAGGTCAATGTCTCTTCATGCAGCTTCACAGCTGGGGACGTGGCAGCACACAGCACATACTGCAGGGGCGGCAGGCGAGCCTCATTCTCGGGGGACAGCTGGGGCTCCTCCTGCTTGAAGATGGGCAGAGCGAGCACATCACTGCAACACACAGGAAGGAGTGGTCAGAAGCAGAGCCCTGAGAGCCCATTTGCAAAGACAGAGCCAAGTGGAGAAGTAGATACAGATCTGGGCACGAAGGGCAGCACTGCAAGGCTTGTGGCAGCAGCTCCCCACACCTCGCATCAGACACTCTAGGGTGCTTTCAGACAGAGCAAACCAATCTGTGGTGATTCCACTTTCTCTCAATGACCCTCAAGAGATGCATTCAAACAAATCATCAAAGAGGTAAAAATGCAACGTTATCTAACATCTACAAATTACAGAAATCTTCTGTGCGACAAAGGGACTAGCAGCAATGGAGTGAACTTTAGATGCCATATGATGTCCATCCACAAGATACTACTCATTATAAAGTTTTACTTTTAGAATTAGACTCCGAACAAAAGTGTTAAACTAGTTTAAATAAACTAGTCTATTTATTAGACACTTCTCAGACCAATAAAACCCTGTCCTCAGGGCTCTGTAAACTATACAAATACAGAAACTGTTTGCTCACTTGCTCAGGTTGAGACATCCTCCAACTCTTCCAAAAAAAAAAAAGACAGCTGACCCATAACCCCAATTGTAAGGGTCATACTAATATCTCCTAAATGCCAAACAAGAAGGGAAGACCTTGGTTTCAATTCCATTTTCTTATCCAAATGGAAAATATTAAGATGCTCAAAGATTCGTTTTTCTCTACCTCTGAACAAAACTCCCCACCATATCCAAAAAAGTCAGCCTCACATGAGCCTATGACTGGAGAACTTGTTTCTAGATGTATTTTTTAATGTCCTCGCAAAGAAAAAGAAATCCTTGAGAATATGAATGACCTGCAGGCAGGACACACTTGTTTAAGACCTCTAAATTATGAGCAGCATGAAAACAGGTGCCAAAAAAATGCTCTTATCTTGATAACCCTCCTCCTTCCGTGTGTCCCAGGTTATGAATCAGATTCACTGACCCCGTTTTACTGTATAAACAATAGAATTACTGGTACAATCTGTTCCTCAAACAACACAATAAACAAGTGTCTCTAAAACACAAACCCAGCACACACCCCAACAATGTCTAACCAATTCTCAGAAGGAAAAGCCGGGCTCAGAGCACACCTGGAACACCTCCCATGTGTGTACATCTGGCCCAAAGACCAGAGCGCAGTGCTATCTTGGCTCCCCCACACCTCACCTTCCTTTTACCAGACCGGGACACACTCCCAACCCAAGTGGTTATCTAGGAACAGGAGAGAGGCAGGCAGGCCTGCTCACCTGGAGATTGCATAATTTCATGTTTGCACAGATCATGTGAAGTTAATAATCCATGGGCTGCTGCCTTTAAATATAAAAAAAAAAAAAAAAAAGGAGGGGGTAAGAACCATCACTCAACAGTAACTTGTTTCAAGCCTGGCATCCTTATTTGCCAAGGAATAAAAGTCACGAGAACACCAAACAGAAAAAGGAAAGAAGGGAGTAAAGGCCACTACCCTGGTAAGGTCAAACAACATGCAGAAGTTCTACAGTGAAGAGAAAACCAAAAATAAAAACACACACCAAAAAAAAAAAAACAAGAAAAAGGACAAGACCCTCATTCTAGAGTTGGGGAGACCAGGGATGTATTCACTGACTCCCACCATGGCCTTCACTGAGGTCAACTTCTACAAGGCGAAACTCCAGCTTCCAAGAAGTGAAATAAAAAAAGGGCATGGACCAAATACTTCTTTATCCGTGGACCCAAAGTGACCCCAGAAACCAATATGGCTTTATGATACCTCTCACCCCAACTCTGCCACCCCACTTAATACAATAACAAAATCCTAGAAGTTATCTCAGGTATTCCACAGATAAATTTCCATTTCATTAGCAGAGGTACCTCCCATGCAAGGGAAATTATTCCCTAAAGGGATGACATTTTAGGTATCCAGGAAGTTTTAAATATACTCACCCTTCACTCAAGGTCACCTTCAAAATCATTTTGAAGATATGGCAAGACACTCGATGGCCACAAACTAAAACTTAGGCAAAACTAAACCTAAAATCCCATCATGCAGCACAATAAAAATGTATTCCATTGTAGCACTTTGTATAAATGAATGGACACTTAATCTTCTACCAGGGATTAACATGCCCAGTGGGCTTCCGACATCCCCCAGAGCAGCTTCCCTCTGGTGACATCACCAAGGTCTGCAGGGAGACCATCAGTGCTAAATTCCTTATAGTTATGCCATCTCCTACTACTCTGGCCAGCAGACACATCAACTCAATCATTTTTTTTTCCCTTTTGGAAGGGGGAGGTCTTCAGGGAGGACTACTGGACAAATACCTATCAGAAGCCAGGATTTACAAACAACGTGTAAATCTGAGTGGAAACTTCTGGGAGCCAAAAAAAAAAAAAACAGCACTCCCCGTGGCTGTCAGTTTGGAGCTTTCAGTGCCAGCGACTCCCTCGGTCTCACAACGCCCTTTCTCTGAGCGTGTACCAAATGCCGTTTGGGTTTTAAATTAGGTACATTTCAAAAATTGTGACTAGGATCGAAATAAAGCAGGCCAAAGCGGGTTCAGGTGAGTTCACAAAGTGCAATGACTGCCCATTAGTACCCGGCCAGCTGCTGAACAGGGGCCTCCGAAAGCTAACGGGGTCCTACTCCCTTCAGGGGATCGGAGACAACTTTGCAAACAGGCAGGACTTACTTTTCCCTTTGAGAAGCACTAGTCAAATCTGTGCAGAAGAAAGAGTTCCATCAAAGGCAATAAACCTCCGCACGGGCCTCAAGCCGACACGCACAAGACCACCTGGAAGGAAGGCGCATCTTGCCCCTACGGAGCCCCAGCCAGCGCCCGCGAGGCTAAGCGCAGGTCGGCGCTCGCCACTCTCTCGCCCCTGCGCCAGACCAAGGACACTGGAAAGGGCGCGAGGCTCAGAGAGGGGGCAGGCGGAGAGGGCCAAAGAGCAGGGGACTAGACTTTCGCGGGACAGGCACCCCTCGGACGCCAGCGGAAAGGAGACGGGGACCAGGACGTACCTGGGGAGGCTGCGGCCAGCTGGTGCGAACCTCGCACCCGCCAGGGGTCGTCATGGGAGAAGCCCTCCCCGGCATCAAGCTCTGCAAGCCGGGCCCCCAACACTGCGCGTCCGGTCCAGCTAGGGTCTGTCCGTCCGTCCCAAGGCGGGACTCTGGGCGGCTCTTTCTCTCAGTTCGTAAAGGGCAGACAGTGGAGAAACGGGACGCAGCGGGGCCGCTGGACACCCGGACCTCGCAGCTACCCTCCCTGGCCTGGACGTCCGACTGTGCCTCGCCCGCCGACCCCGACGCACGGCCCCCGCCCAATGCCCGCGGGGCGGGGCGGCGCGGCCCTTACCGCAGATAGCTGCTGGAGTTGTGCTGGTTGTAGTGCTCGGGCTGCGTGTGCCAGAACAGCATGGCTGGAGCTCCAAGCCGGCCACGACCCAGACGTGCAGAAGGGGACGCAAGCCCAGCGGAGCCCGCAGGGTCACCTGAAAGCGCACTTCGAAGCGCCGAGCGGACCTGCCCAGCGTCTTTATGGACGGCCCAGGGGGCGGGGGGCGGGGCCGCGGCCGGGCCCTCCCCTCAGGCAGCGCGGCGGGGAGGCGGCTCCCGGGCGGCCACCCCACCTGGCGGCACCGCACCGGCGCGCCCTTCCCGGGAGCAAGCGCGCAGCGGGAGCGCTGAACTGGAGGGGCTGGCGCGGCCGCGGGTTGAGGCTGAGGCTCGGCCCCCCCCCTCCCCCCGCTGCCTCCCCTGAGGAGGGTGCTCAGGTGACACTGCCGCTCACCTTCTCTGAGCCCCGCCCTCGACTCTGAGCGCTCGGCTGGTCCGCACCGTGTCTGGAGAGAGGCTGCCTTGAGCTAGGATGTCAGGCACCAAGTCCCAGACCTTACCTTGTTCTTGTTTATTCATAGCACTTTACACTCTCTGAAGTCATGGTATTTTTATTTTTACTTGTGTGTTGCTTGTCTTTCCCCCAAGAATGAAGTATGAAAAAAGGAATGCATCAAGTAAGCAATCAGAGAAGGCTTCCTGAAGGAAGTGACATTGAGCTGAGCGGCCTCATGGATGCAAAGGAAGCATCTCTATGAACATCTGGAGGGAAAGTGGTTCCAGGCAGGGGCAACAGTAATGGCCAAAGCCCTGAAGCAGACCTACTTTGACGAGGCTGCAGTTGGGTAACCAAAGGGAGTGCCTTAGGGGATGAGGTGGGAGAGGTGGGCAGGGCCAATCACAGAGGGCCTAGCAGGCTCTGTAAGGAGCTGGGGTTTTATTCTGTGTGTTTTAAGCAGAGGCGTCGCATATCTGATTTGCCTCTGGTAAAGATCAACCTGGAAAGAGTGTGGACAGTGGATCATAGTAGGGGTCAGGGAGGAGGGAGTGGAGGTCAGAGCCATAATCCACACACATCCCTGAGTCTTAATCGAATGGAATGAAGTCCCATGAAGACCTGTGCCCAGAACTCCCGGCTCCCCCTCACTCTGTTCTCTCAGCTCCCCTCCCTCCAGCCACAGCTGGCAAGCCCCTTCCCCTGAGCAGGTGTCAAAGACTGCTCTTCCCCCATGAGGAAAATGAAAACGTGCCACCTAGATCCCCTTCAAGGGAGGACTTGTCGCACTAGCCACAGGGAGCGCTGTAAGCAGACAGCCCTGTGCCACCAGCCTTTCAGAGACTTTCTCTGCTGCAGAGAGCCACTTAAGAAGCAGGAGTATAGAAGTCTGGCCATCTCTGCCAGTGGGCCGTTTTAACCCCAGGACTCTCCTTGGGCCAGTTGAAGCTGTCCAGGAGAGGGGGCTCCCTCAGTCAGTTCCTGCTTCCTTGCCATTGCTTGCACAGGTGTTAATGTCAGGGTACCTTGCCCAGGAGGGCCTCCTTGTCTGGGCACGACAAAGCCACCATGCTCTTAGAGCTGAGTCTCCATCTGTGGAATGAAGATGATGATGCCCGCCTCTTAGAGCTGTAGAGAGGACTAAGGAAGACAATGTATGGGGTGGGTGTGCAGACCACCCTCTCCCAGCCTTCTCTAAAGCACTCATTTTTAATTACTTCACGAATGTTCAAAACTGTATGGCAGATCAAAAATGCCAGGTGCTAGTCAGAATTACATTCTGTTGCAAGTAACAAAAACTCCTATATAAAAAAAATGGCTTAAATGAGATATAGGCTTATTTTTTCCCTAAGCTCTAAAAGTCTATGGTTAACGCCATGCAATATAGTACCCGTGGGCCACATGTGGCCATTGAAATATGGCTGGTCTTAATCAAGATGTGTTATAAGTGTAAAGTACACACCAATTTCAAAGACTTCATATGAAAAAAGAATATAATTAGCCTGTCAATAATTTTATACTGATCCCATGATAAATGATAATGTTTTGAATATATTGAGTTAAACACTATGTATTGGGTTGTCGGAAAAGTCACGACGCAATTTTGCAACAAAAAAAACATAGAAAAAATGCATCGTGACTTTTCTGACAACCCAATACATTATTAAAATTAATTTCACCAGTTCAGTTTTACCTTTTAAAATGTGGCTACTAGAAAATTGAAATTCAAATATGTGGCTTGCATTTGTAGTTTGCATTATTACATTCCTACTGGACAGAACTGATCTAGAGCAGTGGTTCTCAAGCAGAGGTGACTGCCCACCTCCCCCTTCACCCCCCACAGAGGACACATGGCAATCTCTAGAAACATTTTTGGTTGTCTCAACTTGAGGGGTGGGGGGCTACTGGCATCTAGTGGTTAGAGGCCAAGGATGTTACTAAACATCCTACAACGTACAGACAGCCCCGCATAGCAAAGAATTATCCAGCACAAAATATTAATAGGGCTTAGGTTGAGGAACTAACTTAATTATTCCATGGTATTCTTCAATGTCAGGAACCCAGACTTCTTACATCTTGTTTCTTTGTCATGTGTACCTTCCATTTGCAAGGTAACAGCACAATCTATAATGGCTGCTGGAGATCCAGCCATTACAGCAGCATTCTAGCCAGCCTCAAAGGAGGGGAGAATAAGGCACACCTTCCCTCTTCAAGGAAGATGTACACACTACTTCTGTTTACTTCCCAATGGTTGGAAACTAGTCACCTGGCCTCACCTTGCTGTATGGGAAGCTAGGAATTGTAGTCCTCATTGGAGTGGCATGTACCCAGCGAAAAATCAGGGGTTTCTCACTGACAAAGGTGGGAGAATGAATCTGAAGGGGCTAGTATCTGTCATACCTTGCCAGGGGTACCTGGCAAGGAATATTAATCTCATTTGATAAATGAAGAAACAGAGGCACATGGGTAAGGGAACTTGCCAAGACACAGAGTAAATGGCAGACTAAAGCATAAACTAAGGCCTCCTGACTTCCTGTCGTCTGGTCATCACACCCTGCTACCCTGCACACATGGCTAAATCACATTTTTGTTCCTTGAATCCCATTGGTCAATGTCCATGTTGGTCACCTCCCTCACCATGATGGCAGCTTCTCTGTCAAGAACGTCACTTGCTCTCTCAAGAAAAGACAGTGATTTTTCAAAGATGCTCCTTCAGATTCAGAGAATTCTGGGATTTACTTAATAGCACTGTATAATCTGTTTCTTAGCTTTGATCAGTGTACACAGTAACCTAAGACATTCACAATGAAGGAAACTGGGTGAAGGGTATATGGGAATTCTCTGGGTTATATTGGCAACTTTTCTGTGAGTCTCAAGGTATTCCAAAATGAAAAGATTCGTTTTGAAAAAACTGTGCCTTTAGAATTCAAACAGTTAAATGGATACACTTGGGCATGAGTTGTTTGGTATTCTTAAAGCAAAGTTCACCTGTGTCATCGACATTTTTCATTCACCAAATAGCTCAGACCGGGTGGATATATCCTAACAACTACTGTCCATCCAGCCCTCAGCATGTTCCAGTGCTGCCTGGGAACATTCTGTTTACTAGCTTGTCTAGTTCTCACAATGGCCTTAGGAGACATTTGATGTGCCCATTTCACAGATGAGGCTTTGGAGGCCCAAGAAGGCCAAGAGATCGGGCAACCTTCCCAGGGGCACATGACTAAAAAGTGGAAGAGCTGGAGTATGAACACCAGTCCCCCTACTCCAAAGACCCCACTACTGCCTTTCATCAAGTCTCCTGTCTCTCTCCTAGATTCTCCCATCAGTCTTCTGGGCAGTCCAGTGTCCTCATTCTGATGAGAACTGCCCTGCTCTCTGCTCCGCAGTCACGGCGAACTTCCCTGAGTGGAGTCATCCATATGTACTTTGGCACAGTGCCTTCCCTCCAGGGACCAAACAAGAGGCCTGTTCTCTGCCTGCAGCCTCCCTCTGCAAACCTCCCATTTACAAGCGCCAGCCTCTGCAGAGAGCCCACATACAGCACTTCTTTCCCAGGGGCTGCTACTCCAGAGAAATAGGGGAAAGCAGAGTCAAACTGCAGAGAGCCTCTCCCCAGGGGCACAGCCAAGGTGTTTAAGCTTCCCACTATTATCCCATGTAATTCTCTCAACATCCTAGGGAGGCGGATGTCAGCGTACCCACTTCACTGACGAGAAATTCGGGGCTCCATGAGTCAGCAACTTGTCTCATCTTGCACAGCTGAAGAGGGATAGAGCCAGGCTGGGCCCTGTCCACCGCGCTGGGCTGAAAGGAGAGAAGAGAGTTCTGCTGGGGCCAGACCCAGGAGGTCTCCCCAGGGGCGGGAAGCGCTGGACAAGGCTGTGGAGCCTTGGTGCCTGAGAGAAGGAAACAGAGCTCAGACTCAGCAAACTTTCTTGTCCTCCCACTCTCCTTAGAGAGGCTGTCTCCACTGGTTCTGTGCCTTTGTACCCAGGAGTCTCCTGTGTGAGGGGTTCTCTCTCTCCTGCTCACTCACCCCAACGCTGCCCAGAAAGAGGATGGGCCAAGCATTGGCATCTACCACTGTGTCTTCCGGAAACCCTCCACGATGGAAATGAAGACTTTTTTTAGGACGTAAATGCGTAGAGACAAATAAAATGGGAAGAGACCGCAGCCACAAAGGTTTGGAATTCGGAAAGCAGGTGGGTGAGAGGAAAAAGGCTCTGCAGAGAGAGCCTGTGATGGACAAAACCACAGAGCAGCCTGATTACTGTGTCAGAGTCCCTCAGGGGCTGAGAATCACAGCGCTGTTTGCCTGGGAAAAGGGTAGTGAGGAGGATTAGCTACTAAGGGAAGCTAAAGTTTCATATCCCCCTTCCCTCTCCATGCAAGAGGTACATCAGGGGACCGCTGAACTAGGCCGGGAATGGTGTTAGTCCAGATCCTCCAAGAAGCAGATTCCAAGATGGAACTAGACATGTAAGGATCTTATTAGGAAACTGCCTACATGTGGGCGAAATGGGGAGGTCCCAGAAGAAGGGGGAGCCACAGACTGCAATGCGGCCAACTGAGCGAAGGAGAGACAGAAAGCGGTCAGGGGAAGCACCCAGGACAGCCCTGTGCTCTCAGAGAGGCCTGGCAGTGTGCTGTCCCAGGAGGGCTGCTGTGGCACCCTTTGTCCTCTTCAATGGGT